AGCACAAGTCAATTAACATATTTTAAGTGTGGCACAAACTGCATCAAACGCTACTGCATGGGCACTAATTCCAGAAGTCGAATCGCATAAAGTGAATGACGGCTAAGAATATGGGAAACGGATAGCGCATTGGTGCGACCCGTTCGCTATTATGGCAAATCTGTGGCAAGACAGACAAGAATGTCGTCTTTACTTCGCGACGACTTTACAGATAAATGGTACGCGCTCTACTAAATACGGGAAATTCATAAATGTTTTTGGTTACCGCCATGAATATATGAATTATCAAGGATAACGTGAATTTACCAATAAATGATGATTTTCACTATTGCCCGTTAAAACACGAATTACTGTAATTGTAAATACTCTTTTTCGGAGTGAACATCAGAAGCAGGAAATGAATGATCTTGTTTCTTAGATGCAGTCTTCGAAACAGATCTTCCTCTATGATGGTGTGGTGCCCGGATTACAGAAACATTAGTGATTTTAAAACGTCGGATTAGAATTTTATAAACGGATATTTTTGCGCCAATAACCATTGCATCGGAAGATTTAAAAGACTTGTCAAAATACAGGCACGGAATCAACATGAAATTCAGGCAACTATTTTTATTCGTATCATTCTCATAGGGCAGAACAATGACAACACTGTATCAAGCAAGTGCAGGAACAAAATCACGATAACGCAGAACAGAATCAATTATGCTACCCGAATATCCACTCTTTTAAAGGGTACTGCAAATACTTGATTTTGAGTATTGCAGAATTAATTTAATGCTCTAAATCTCAAACCCTTGATAATATTGACAGAAACTGAGCTGGGGGTGCAAGAACAAGACTTCAGGATGTAGGATCTATTGTAGTGTCTTGTGGCTTTCCCTAAACCGATAATGAGAAGGAATCTTCAACATTACCCGGCATTAGAACGTCAAGATATGATCGTGAATTTGCTGGAGTACGTTAAATTTAAAAGCCACAGAGGAAATAGCTTCCTGATTTTAACAATAATGATACCGGACTGAAATGATGAAAATGTACAATGTAAAGAAAAATGTATTTTTTACTTTACACCAACACTGCGGCAGTGTAAGATATATGTAAGTCTTACCGCAGTATTGCGCTGCCCATTTACTTATAGTCATCTCGGGAACCACTTAAGCAGACCACTGCTTCATGATATTTAAGCTACTGCAGTGCATAGGAAGCATGACCGTGTTTCTGAATTAATTTTTTCGGCCAAAATGAGATTATACATTTATATTAAAGACAATTAATACGCGTAAGCATTTACCTGAATAGAAACGGCGCATGGACGATCTCCCTATCCTCAAACTACGCAACATCCTGCGAATGTATTTAAAACGAATAAAAATTAGAATTGTAAACTCAATGAACTGTACCTATGTGGTAGCTGCATTTTGGAAACTATAATAAAAGCGTAAACAAAACGTGGTCTGCAGCCGGCGGCACTAGAGATGACAGGGCTGTAGTAACAAAAAACTGAAACGAAAGAGCATCATGCTATAGAGTGTGATACAAAATGACTAGTAAGAAAAGAAACCAATTTTGGGAAATGTAGAATTCTGCAAACTATAGAGGAATATAAGCAAGACGAATAGCCAAACATGCCTACCACTGCTACATCGATAAATTTTCCAACCTAAAAAATACTAATATACCTAACTTTTAACTAACAAATCTCGGTTAGTTTTAAGTATACTTCCATAAGCTTGTATCCTCCACTTAACTTTTATACTACCCTCAAAGAAGTTCTGAGATCGGCACTAATCAAGGTTAATCATCGAAACATACGAGTAATAGCATCACCTAACCGGTGTTTTGCTAACTTAAAACTTAAGATTGTTACAGAGTGCTCCGAAATTGACTATGGTTATAAGTAGTTCCAGTGTTGATTGCAATATTTAAATATAGACATCCGCATACATATCCGTTATCCAGCTTGTCATAGTTGTGGATGCGCTATGAATGCAAGCTGTTGCTCCTCCAATATTCTATGTTCTCTGATTACTGCTTTTATCAGTCATAAAGTAATTTGACCATCGGATCAAGTCAGCATGTTCTTGGTCGATCGAGCGGAGCCTAGATTGCAATTCTAGACATTTATCCTACTCAGGCGAACCACATGGTAGGTAAATCTTCCTTTTGAGTAGCAGAAAGCAGAAATCACGTCTGCTAATTCAGTCCCTTGTCGAAAGCGTATGCTCAAAACGTGATCCCGGACGGACACCTGACATGTTTTTCGCTTTATCGAATTTTTCTGTGACTATCGGTGAGTTGTTCTTAGTTTTAGCAGCAGACCAACACTTATTGTACAGACCATGGCGGGTAAAACTGTTTAATCGAAATGTAGTTTCATTACTCATATGAGCAGCTCATAGCAGAGTAATGATGCGTTAATATGGATAAAGCTGGTCAATGCACAGACATAAGATATAGATTTACGTAAAGATAAAGTATATTCAAAGAATACAAAAATATCAGTATACGATACTTAAAGATATTTATTTGAAAACAGCATAAAACACGACTTATTAAAATACAGCTAAAAACTGATATGGTCATTCTAATGACTGACGTCAGTGACGTTCCGGTCTTGTGAGGTACAAGATTGGCAGAATTTCAGAGAACTTTTTGTTGTTGGTAACGGCTGGTAGATCTGTAGCAGAAAGTGAACTGTTGATCCCTGCTGCTCGCAAAACTGTTTCGGGGAGACAGGGGGCACGGCTCATCCACGGCGCTTCTTCGTTGGACCGTGTGCTGCACAATCCTGAAGGTTTTCAGAATTGTTTGTTGACTTTTCAGAAGGATAGGCTTTGTTTTCTTCTCCGGTGCTTCGTTACGTGTAGTTCACGCTCGTCCGCGATCATCCGCCTTCTTCAGTCAAACAAGTGC